CATCCGCTTATCCCCAGCCCCACCCCATCCCACCCTCCCCGCCTCCTGCTACTGGATCTGGAAAACGTTGAGCTTGCTGGTGTTCTTGAGGGTCTGCCTGCGGTTGCAGAACCAGACGCGGACCACCTCGCGGTCGTAGTTGAGCTCCTTGGCGATCTCGGTGATCTCCTGGCCGGTGGGCAGGGCGTTCTTCTCGAAGTAGGCGTTGAGGACCTCGATGGCCTGCGGCGTGAAGCTGGTCCGCCGTTTGCGCTTCTTGGAGGGCTCGCCGCCCACGAACTCCATCAGGTTCTGCTGGCCCTTCTGGTTCCACAGCTCGGCCTCGGCCAGCCACTTCTCCAGCACCGGCTTCAGCTTCTGGGCGCTCTTGGGGGTGATGTCCAGCTTCTCAAACCTGGAGCACACATTAGGAGGGACATTCACAAAGGGTACCCCTATCTACACCGCAAGTATGTGGTTCATTTCTGCTTTTGCAAGGCCGCTCTCTTTCGGAGCTTGTCATCAGGACTGCTGCCAGTGGGGATGAAAGCAGACAGGCTTGGTCTATATATTTGGTTGGCTCTCCTGAAGCCACGCTCTCAGAAGGCAATCCTCAAGATTAGGTTGTCTGTTCTGCTCAGAACCCCATAATGAAATTGAGTTCCCGCCTTTAGTTTTGCAGGTGCCGTCTTACAAAGTCTGCAGCTTTACATGAGAAGGCTTACAAGTTTCCAAAATGTAAGCCCATGCATTTACTCTAAAGAGAGTGGTTCTGGAGTGCGGGTCATAATACACTTTTAAACCCATTTGTTTTGTCGGACGACACTAAATGACATAAGGAAATGGTCCTGCACAGAACAGCCTTTCACTTACCATTCACTTCCACCCTCAGCACACTCTCTTTTTCCTCAGGTCACCAGCCACACTTTTTCACTGCATAACCCTTCAACTGGAGCCTTTTTTCCCCCCACATGCACCTTGTCCATACTGATGACTGTTGAACAGTTCCCCACTATCTACATTGGCCAGACAGGATGCAGACGGGTCCGTCTCTTTGGGGAACACGTTAGTGCAGCAGGATCACAGATTTCTCTGAGAGTTCTTCATTGGCCCTCTCGCGTGCCACGGTTATACCAACCTTTCTTGTGGATCCAAGGAGGAAAAACCAAAAGTATCCTTAAACTAGGTCCTCGCCTTTCCCCATCTCTCAATGATCAACTCAATTCTGTCCAAGTCTCTCCATTCATTCGTGTACCAGATTTCCATTGCTTCGGAAACGCCGTCTCGCCTCCTGTACCCAATCGTACAAGCTGTTTCTTCAGTCCTCTGCCACACATTCCCGATCCCTAACTCCTGCCTAAAGTGGATCTGCAGTCGAAACGCTGTTTATTTCTTCATAATGAAATGAATCTCTACTCGTTCTTTTGCACCCTGCATGACGCTTGATGCAGCTCCCTGCTAAAACCTCTTCAGAAGAACAAAATATTCACCATCTAGCTTTTGTTTCCGTGCCATTATTATCATCCCTAAATAGCTTTTTCAAACTATGGCAGCAAAATAAATTAGACTAAAAAAGCAATGAACACATTGTATTTTCACCAGAAATTACAATCTTAGCAGGCTGAGTGAATGGCACCCTCACTCTCTCTCCCCCCCCGCAGTTCTTCCTCCCAGCCACCAGGTGGCGCTCTTACCTGCAGATGGCAGACTGACTGTAAGCGGGGCCCTCTGTGGCAGTGAGTGCTTGGCCCACTTGAGTCTGCGTCAGGCCCAGGGACAGCCGCCGAATCTTGAAGTTCTTGGCAAATTCGCGGATCTCCTCTAGATTGATCCCCTCCTCGTCCGTCCCGGGAGGCTGGGGCTCTGAAAGAGGAACGGACAAGAAGGGCATGACGATCATCTATTGATTTAGAGGTCGTCTACCACGCTCATCCTCATTTTGCATGGGGGGGAAGACTTCAGCGATTGGCAAGACAAGTGCAATGACTTTTCCACTCCCAGATGACATCACGTACCCCAGCCCTGACTACAGGTACCCAAGCTGGCCATGACCTTGGTCGTGCCACTGGCTGACTGATCGGAGCTGATACAGCGCTGGTGGGACAGTCAGGGCTTTGGTCAGCCAGCAAAACACCCATACCAGCCACTCGCCTGGCACCTGCAACCTTGCAGTGGCCTCACGCTCACGTCAGCGTCAGTGGGACCAGCAGCGTGTCGAACACAGGGCGAGTGGCTCCGACAGTGGCGGGATCCCCTCCTGTGTGTTGAAGGGCTTGTATCTGGAAGGCTGAGTCTTGACACACTGGCAGTCCCAAACTGGGAATGGGCTATGCAATCAAAAATAACTGGCGATCGCAACGTCCTTCTAAATAAATTCACCCCAGGGTGAAATATTCGGAGCACGAAAGGAAACCCCCCCAGGGTAGCGTCCTGTGAAGGATGTCTGTTCTCTGCAGGGTAGTCACGTGATAGTTAGCACGGGCTCTTACTGTTGACAAGCTGTCCGACAGTTGGGGTGTCTCCACAGCCGATGGCCACCGAGGAGGAGATGCTCGTCACGGTCTTGACTGGGGAGGGCTGGGGCGCGATGACCACCGGGGCCTGAGACACCGTCACTCCCGTCACCACGGACCCCTGGAATGGACATTCGGGAAGAACAGACTCTTCACTGGGTTCGTTCCAGGGCTGTCGCACACACCCCTCCCCATCGCTGGCCTGTTCTGAAACGCAAGAGCCGTGACCACACGCATGCGCCAGACAGACAGGCGGCCATCATAACTACACGTGAGGAGAGGTGGAACCCCAAAGCTCTGCTTGATCGGCTGCTACAAACAACAGCAGAGGCACAAATCTGATTATTACAGTGTGTAATCTAGGTATTACAGTGTGGTGTGGCAGTATCTCGTTGTCTGACCAGAAGGACTTACAGGGGGTGATCAGGCGTTACAGGGGGTGATCAGGTCAGCCCAGTCCATCACTGGAGTACAGCTCCCCTCCATTGTGGACATTTTTATAACTCGCTGTCTCAGGAAGGCTGGAAGTATCGCCGAGGATCATACTGGTCATCCTGGTTTCTCATTTCCCTTCCCTCTCCCCTCTGGTAAGCGTTATAGGAGCATCAAGGCACGAACGTCCAGATTCACTGACTGGCTCTGGCTCACACTAATGTGTTTTTTTTCTAAGATGTATGTTATTTAACTTGTTGTTGTTGCTGCTGCTGTTCTGTGTTAATGTTTTTGGTGTTTCCTTAATGTCTTTGTATTGGAGCATACATGCAAATATGTATTCCATTACACTTGTGCATATGACAATAAACTGAACCGAACCGACACATGCCTTCCCCTTCTGTCTCAAGTGTGCTTCCGGCCAGCTGAGCAATTTCTGAACTCCTTCAGATCGAAGGTCACTCGATCACCTCCCCGCACAGTTCAGGGACAAAGTATAGAGGAGATCTGTGGGCCTGAACGCATTTTACACACTCCGGATCTGCCCAGAGTCATAGTACAACAGTGCACGATAGTACAGTTAATAACTTGGACGCTGAGAGCATCACAGAAAGGCGGCAGAAGGCAACAGGAAGAAGAGGATGCTGTTAATGTAACAGAACAGGAAGCTGAACCCAGGTTGATCTGGACGGCAGAGCAGCACACTGGGCCACACTGTGAGAATGTGATGGACCTGGATCACAGTCGATCGTGCATAATACAGGGCCCCCTCCCGGATAGGGCTGAGCAAATGCAAATCCACAAGATCCACTGGACCTGCCCTGCAGGTGATACTCAACATTAAACCGCTCAGCAAAAGCAGAGAGACTGGCATTATATCCTACAGGCAGCAGCACGGAGGCTACAGCACCCCCACTGCACTGCCTGCGAGTGACAACACAGCAGAGTCTAAGGGTCACCTGGGGGCTGATGATCACAGACTGCACAGCGGACAGGGAGTCATTCGCTTGGGCGTCCTTACAGCTCGCCGGTGCATTCGCACAGGATGAAAGAGTGCAGTTTTTCTCAGTGTGCCTTGGCGACTGGCAACAGCTCTCGCTCTGTGGCATGCAGACCACACATCTACAGACTGTGTGAGAAATAAACACAGATCTGCAGACCGCATACAGATGGCCTCAGCCAGTCAAGCCATTTGAAGAGGCATGTGCACATCTGCAGTTGATGTGCAATTCGTGGGCCCATGGTACGTACATGCCGATGTCCCAGCTTTTTTCAAGAGGTGGCAGGACAAGATCCTCGGATTATCTTCTAGCAAGTAATCGAGCTAGCTTTTCTTGTTTCTTCTGATGGATTCAAAATGACCTCCTCTTTTCCAGCCCCTTCAACAGCGATCAGTCTAAGTAATCCAGTGTCTTTGTGAAGCAAGAAGACCATACCAGGAAGACGCACGACTGCAAGAGTCAATCTGAGCTCTTGTACAGAAGCCTGCAGCGGACGCCTGATGTTTCAAACCTGCTACCTTGAGTTCATGCACACGGACAGGCAGCAGCATGAAACACCCTGCTTCTGGGATTCACGTGGTGACCAGTGCCTCGTACCTGTGCTGTCGGCTTGGCGGGGGCCTGTGTTGGCACACTGGGCTTGGGCAGGACTGTGGCCGGCGTCGGCCCGTTGCCGATAGTGGCGATGATCTGGCCCTGGGCGTTGAGCACCAGCTGCGGGGAGACGGTCTGGACCTGCAGGCTCTGGGTGGAGAGGGCAGGGGACACTGTGGAGCCAGTGGCCAGGGAGGCTGGGTTCACCAGGAAGGGCAGGGTCCCGATCACCTGGCAGGGCGCAGAGCACAGAGCACAGGTCACAGACCCCCGAGAGATCAACCAGAGCGACCCCAGGGGTGAAGATCACAAACCACCATTTAAAGGCCTACCATGGACATTTTATAATACTGTTTTTGCCATATTGTCACATTTGTTCCCTTCTTTTTGCACATTAGCCTGATTCACCACAGAGTAATTGTCATAAAGGACTCACAATCATTTCCTTTATTACTGCTGTACGGTGTAGTACAAGCATGGTAATCTTCAGCATAGAAGAACTAATTACGTTAATTAGTCACATTCAGGAAGCAATTTTCATTCCCAAGGACTGAACACAGCCGAATCCAGGCCAATTAGTTAAAAGAGAGGAAAGCGCTATTCACTGGTGCCAGGAAATCATAACAATGATCCCCCGCCTTACCTGCCCCTGCGCGTTGGTGATGATCTGCCCGGTGATGCCAGGCATGCCTGAGATGGCGCTGGTGATGATGGGCGTGGTGGCGAGGGAGCTGATGAACTGGGGCTGGGCTCCCAGAGAGGCGGCGCTGATCTGCGACACAGAGACAGGTGATCAGCTGGGGCCCCCCAGGCAGGCCCCCCCGGCACCCCGTCTACGAACGAGAGGAGCCTGATCGGCCCGTCGGCCTCATCTGACCCGAGATTCTGCCGGGATTCCGAGTACCGTCCTCATTGGACCCTGACCCGCGGAGAAAGTCGAAAAAGGTCGACGCCATTCTCAGGCGGCAGACCTAGAGCGTGGAGACCCCACTGCCCCTGTCCGCGGTGCTGTCTGTAAACAATCCCAGGTGATCCCTGGACAATCCCGGCAAAAACTACACGCGTGGTTCATCCGTGTTGAAACGGTGGCCATTTCACCTCACAGCTGGGAGGCAAACAACCCCCCTTAGTACAGCTGCTGGATCCACTGGGGATTCCTCATGAGCTGCAAACTGGACTGTAAACTGCACCGACAGGGCAGGACGGCCATGTGCTTCACATTATTTACTTCATACACACATCTACACCAGAGTGCTCTGCGCTACATGTGCCCACGTTATCCAGGCAGGATCTAATATCTATGTCCAGAAAGCCCTGCAGCTGGTAAAGTCTGGAATGGATCATCAGACCGCTGTACAACGGGAGTCTGGTCTTCATACCTTCTAGTGCTGGAGAGCAGAATGACTTGTGATTTAATTCCACCAGACCTTTTATCAAATGACAAAGCACAACAACAACATTTCTTAGGTTTTCCTCTAACTTTTCACATTCCGCCCACCCGAACTGGGAATCACATATTATGGTTGTTTTTTTTTTGCGACAGGGGCTGCAGATGAGAGCGACCAGGCGTGGTCCCCTGACCCTCCAGCCCACTGAGCTGCGTGCGTCTTGACAAGCTGTTCGCCCCCCCCGGAGCAGGATGAGCGTCACAGTCCCGCCCGTGCTCGAGGTAACCCTGCGACAGGACAGCGTCCCGACTGGCAGGCTCACACAGAGGCTGCCCTGGCCTGCCTCAGCTGGGACGAGCTCTGGCCTGATTAGCCACTGGGCTCGACCCTGACGGACCCCCTCCCTCACCTAGATGGGCACTACCAATCGCGCCCCAGCTCCTGGGAAATCCCCGTCACACACAGCTGCTGCTGAATTCATTCTTTCCTGACTTATTAGTTCTTGGAGAGCCCCGTCAGTGAGGGTGCCAGGGGAGCCTGCAGGGCTTTCCTGCAGCAGGAGGGAGTGACCTGCCTCACTGGACCTATGGGCGGGCGAGGGGCAGTGCGCTCACAATGGCAGGGTTAATGGAGATGCCCGCCGTCTGCAGCGTGGCCACGCTTGCGCTGGGCTCCGAGGCTTTGGGCACGGCGGCCGCAGCGGGACTGGCGTTGCTCTGCGCAGCTGGCTGCGTCATCTGCGGCTGCGCCTGCTGCTGCAGGACCGTCTGCGCAGGGGCGTGCAGCTGCGGCTGGACGGCGTTCAACACGGTGGCCGCTGGAAAGAGAAAAGAAGATGTGGCACTAGTCCTACTGCACGCCTAGATTGTTAACTAGCAACTGGCGCTGCTATGAATCTTGGACTACTTCCTCCACATTCCTTTTTCAGCTTCCATTTTCTGTGGGGGAGTCGTAGCCTAACCTGGCAAGTAACGGGCACAAGGCAGGGTATACCCTGGAGGGGACGCCAGTCCATCGCAGGGCACACACAGACACACACACACCAGGGCCAATTTTAACCTACCATTTAACCCATTTAACCTACCGGCATGTCTTTAGACTGCGGGAGGAAACCAGGGCACCCAGAGGAAATCACTCGAATACAGGGAGAACATGCAAACTCCACACAGATAGCACCCCAGGGCCGGATCTGAACCCAGGCTGCAATGCTGAGCACTGTTCCACCGTGCCACTTCCACATTCTCTTCATTTGGCACAATTCCCTTAGAACAATTAGTTTTCCAGCCAAAAGGTTACAAGGTATGCAAACAACAGTACAGTAGTAGGTCTGTTACTGTTGGGGCCCAGAGAGAAAAGCGCCACCTACTGCCTCCCGGACACCAGTACAACAGCACTGAAACGGTGTTAGCTACTGTGTCTATCACACTGGTGCCCTTTCACAAGCACGCTGCAGCTTCTCACCCTGCAGGCCGGTGAAGGGCAGTTTCAGGACCCCCCCGGCTGGGGACGCAGCGGTCAGCCCCGGGAGGGTGGTCACGGTGGCCGTAGGGAAGGTGAGGACTGCCAGGCCCTGCTGCCCGCCCATCTGCCCCGCCACGCTGAGCGGGATCAGGAGGGGCTGGGTCACTGCGCCCGTCTGAGCCATCATCCCCGTCACCACTGTGGTCAGCCCGTCCTGTGTCAGCAGCTGAGAGACAGGAGACAGGGAGAGGGAGACAGGCAGGTCAGAGAGAGACAGGAGACAGGGAGAGGGAGACAGGCAGGTCTGAGAGAGACAGGAGACAAGGAGAGTGAGACAGGAGACAAGGAGAGGGAGACAGGCAGGTCAGAGAGAGACAGGAGACAGGGAGAGAGAGACAGGCAGGTCTGAGAGAGACAGGAGACAGGGAGAGTGAGACAGGAGACAGGGAGAGGGAGACAGGGAGGTCAGAGAGAGACAGGAGACAGGGAGACGGAGACAAGGAGGTCAGAGAGAGACGGGGAGATCAGAGGGAGACAGGAGACAGGGAGGTCAGAGAGAGACAGGAGACGGGGACAGTGAGACAGGGAGGTCAGAGGGAGATGGGGAGAGTGAGACAGTGATGAGGAGAGAGGGAGATGAGGGGAAAGAGAGATAATGAGAGAGGGAGAGAAAAAGGGAGAGTGGGTGAGGGAGAATAGCAGGCGAAAGAGGTTGAGGAGGAGGTGGAGCTTAGAGGAGCCAAATAGGGGGATAGATGAGAACATGTGTTTTCTTGTCCTGGTTTTGAATCACCAATCAAAGCAGAGACAGAGCACAGAAGAGAGAGAAAGTGAGGCAGAGTGGGAGACAGAGACAGAGGGACGGTTACAGACTGAGGGAGACGGACGCTGTGCAGAGATCAGGCAGTCTGATGGACCCCAGCACGACAGGATCCCATGGACTCCACTGTCCTGGACGAGGACAGCTCCGCTCCCCCAGGGCTGCCCGACCGCGCTCGGCCTCACCTGGGGGCCCGCCTGGACAGTGATGGGCAGCGCCGTCTGAGGCTGGGAGGAGAAGGACACGGTGGTGGCGCCAGCCTGGGGCACCGTCTGGGCAGCTGGGGCCGGTGGGACCAGGGCTGCTTCCCCATCGCTGGGAGCTGAGGAAGAGAGCGGGAACGACGCGCAGATGAGAGAACAGGGAGCGGGACTTCCGAACAAGGATGGGCAACATGGTCACTGACGTCCCATTCCACGCAAGTTAGTCAGTCCCCAGTCACTTCAGTCATCTCCTGTAACTGGATCAACCCATTCCTTATCAGAAATCTGCTTACTCCCGGGAAGGGTCCAACAACCCGGACCATATCCTAGGAATATGAGGTGCCATCATGGATACAGCACTAATCCACTGTAGAGACAGCAGTTATCCCAGCCGCGTCTCTGGGATATGGGAGTTGGGAACAAGCTACCTGCCGTTGTGTTTCCTTAAGGAAACAGCTGGATGAGCCCTTTGGGTTCATCAGCTACCGAACAGATCTCATGGGCCAAATGGCCTCCTCTTACTTCCACTCTTATGTTTTTGGAAAGTGGGAGGAAAACTGGAGCGCCGAGCAAAAGCTGCAATCCAAGAAGAACATGCAAACTCCCCCCAGGACATACCAGTTAAGTGAATGTAATGGATTGGAGTGCAATCCAAGCAAATGAGTTCCTGTCCCAGGAGTTGCCTTTTCATCAGCTGTTTTACTCTTTGCAGAAACTGTCAACTGTGACACAGCGCCAAAATTTGCCAGAACATGCATGTGTGCTCAGACATATGAGCTTGCCTTTAATCGCACTATCCTGTCTCTGGACTAGCCTCAGAGGGAGGACAGGGAAACCTCACTTGTTCTCCTCTCGCTCTGAACCCTTTCCAAGCTTCGCACGAGATCCTGGATGACTGCGATCCCCGTTAGCCCACTGTGCTTCATTCGAGTCCGGGTCTCAGCTGGGCAGTGACACCCAGCCCCGTTTCCAACCACACAGAGCTAACCCATTCTGAGGTCTCCCTGAACCCTCAGTTCTAGCACCCTGTGGGACCCACCTGCGGTCCCAGCATTTCCTTGCGGTGCCGGGGGGTCGTCCGCACGCGTTTCGCCTGGCTCCAGGGCCGGACCGCCCACGCTCTCCCCCCTTTTCCCATCAGCCCCCGCTGCCTGCACAGAGGCGTCAACTTCCACCTCCAGGACTCGGATGGTCTCCTGTCCGGACATCACGATCACCTGAAGGGGACAAGGGAGGGGCAAATGGCAAAAAATAAAGCTTTTCTTTCTGCACTGAACCGACTTGTTCAGTGTGGCTCTGTGGCTATGGATCTGCGCCTGTGGCTGGAAGGTTGCCGGTTCAAATCCCGCGGCCGGCAGAGGAATCCTACCCCATTGGGGCCCTACACCTTAACGCCAACTGCTCCAGGGGAACCGTATAAATGGCTGACCATAAGCTTCTCTCTCCTTGTCTGTGTGTCTCATGGAGAGCAAGCTAGGGTATACGAAAAGACAAATTCCTAATACAAGAAATTGCATATGGCCAATAAAGTGATCTTACTTGAGCTGTTACAAGTGGCTGTGACCTGAGAACAGGACATCACACAGAGGCTCATGGGAGTGAGGAACAAGCTGCCCAGCCCTGCTATTGATGAGATTCTGGGATCAATCAGTTTCTAAAAACCAAACGAGCCAGATAGACTCCTCTGGACTGCAAACCTCCTGACGTCCTCCCTGCCGGAGAGACAAGGAGGAGCTTACTGGTGCAACGAGCATTTGAAACAATTTTGTCTCTGCTTTCGGACCATGGAAATGCCCATTAGAAAGACATAGAAAGACAAATCCATGACCCAGTCCAGTAGCAAGTGCTACAGAATAAAGAAACCGATTTTAGCTGGGACTCATCTGGGACAAATTATCAGCAAATGCTTTCTAGCAGTCAGTGACAGCAGGTGTAGCTCTCAGCAGCTGTCAAGTGCTGGAACAAGGCTCTGGTTCCACCACAGAGGTGAGTTTGAGTTGTTCAGGTTTCACAAAGCCCTGCTCACTGGAGAATTAGTAAAACATCTGAAAATGAAACATCTCAACGGGAGCTGTTGCAGAATGGACTGGGCACGGACTCGGCAGCAGATTTCGTCTCCCTGGCCTTTGCAAACACCAGAAACAGAGCAGCCTTACGCCAACGCCTCCAGCCAGGGTCTCCTTTCAGAAACCGAAGAGAGGGATGGGACAGGTCTGGAATGGGGTCAACGGGAAGTCACATGATCTGGGAAGTGAGTTCAACGCAGGAACGGAGACATACCTGCTCATTGACCGTGAGAGGCCCGTCGTTGCCTGTCAGCTCCTCTGAATCCATGGTCCCTTCCTGGGTCATACAGCTGTCACAGAACCTTCATACTGGGAAGCAACAACAAGTTGCATTACCATTTCCATCCAGCAGGGCGGCGCCGGTAACAAAACCTCGCCACCACTACGTCTTCGTGAAACAAACAACTAAATACAGAAAGCTGCAGTCCGGTAATGATGATCATATTTACTTTTTTATTTTGAATGAACCTTTTTGGGCAGAAAGGTGGAGCAGTAGCTAAGATTGCTGCCTCACAGCTCTGGGGTCCCAGGTTCAATTCTTGGGGTGCTGTATGGAGACAGTATGTTCTCCCCATGTTCGTATGCTTTTCGTCTGGGTGCTCTGGTCTCTTCCCACAGTCCAAAGACACTGGAGGTTAAGACAGCACCCCAGGTCTTGAATTAAACCCATGGACCCTGCGCTGTGAGGCAGCGAAGGTAACCACTGTGCCATCATAGTGCTATACTATGTATGTTTTAAGTGATAATTAAAATACCCCATTATCATCATGGTTATAAATTCCAGATTTTCCCATAATATAGCCCCTTTAATACTATCTTTTCAGATCTGGTTGAAACACATCTGCAGCCTTTAATCCAGTTAAAAAATCCAGATTTGAAAGTACTGTTTGGCCCACAGTCACATGTAGCAGAGAGCGACACAGCTCTTGCCTGACGTCATCAGAACGGTGGGCAAGTCACAGAGGTCAAGCCCAGCCCAGAGTCTCACCAGTCACTGGTCACTGGTCACTGGTCAGGCTCGACTCGGCAACACCTGGACTGTGCAGCTTCACCTGAGCTCTGAACCAGCGCCTTCACTGCTTCACTCGCTTTCTTCATTACTCTTGTTATTATTATAATGAATAATGAAGTTAGGCTGTCTAGACAACTCTGTAAAATTCATGGGAACATCAGAATAACCTCAGAATAATTGCAGAGTTTTGAGAATTCTCCCCTCAAAACTCTGCCAGACTCTTCCAGTCTGTTCAAATTGCTCCCTTCACATGGAGCTAAAGAATGCCAAATAAACAAATAAACTACCAGCTGTTTCTAAAACACCCTCCAACACGCCACGTAATAATGAGTCTAAATTTTAGCCGCAGGGGTTACATATACAATATATTGTATAAAAACATATACAATGGATTGACATTTTTTTACCACAAAAGCAGAACCCCAGAGTCTGGAGCAGAATTTTAATGCAACTGGGTCTCATTAATATTTAGAGCTATTTTAGAATTCGCGGGTAGCTGGTTTGCTCACTACTATTTCCTCCAATGGAGCTGCATTTGATGACCTCACTCTCAGTTAAAGGGCATGTTTGTCTGGTTATAACCACTGCTGGCATGTTGCCCAGAGAGACATCGGTATCGAGGCTCATTTGCGAATATTGCCAAGTCAGCAGGGCGACCAATCAGTGTCTCGCTTGGCTCAATCATGACACCTTGAGGTTCCACACCGAACACCAGAATATTCTAATCCAGCTGTGAAATTTGCCTTACATTGCAAGTTCACTACAAGAAGTGAGCGCGTCCCAGTGTGTGCCCCAAGACTCGTTCTGGGGCCTTGATTCAATCACGCAGTCACGGTCAGGCAAACTAGACGATGAGACAGCAGGAAGTGCAGCACATGAGATATTTCAGGGATGTAGTAGGGATGGGTAACATGGTGGCACAGTGATGAACATTGCTGCTTTACAGCGCTGGGGCCCTGGGCTCCATTCCCAACCAGGGGTGCTGTCTGTGTGGAGTTTGCATGTTCTCCCTAAGTTTGCATGGGTTTCCTCCTGGTGCTCCAGTTTCCTCCCATAGTACAAAGACATACTGGTAGGCTAACTGGCCCTGGACTTGAGTACATGTGTGTCTGTCTACCCTGCAATGGACTGCCGTCCCATCCAGGGTGTACCCTGCATTGAGCCTGTTGCTTGCTTGGACAGGCTCCGATCACCCCACAGCCCTGAACTGGAAGAAGCTGTTAGGAAAAGGATGGGAAACAGGGATGCTATCTTTTCAGGGTTCAAACTCCAGTTCAAAGAGCAGCTACTGAGAGTGACCGTGATGTCCAGGGACAGGGGAGTTATCGTGATGTCCAGGGACACAGGACACAGGGGAGTGACCATGATGTCCAGGGACACAGGACACAGGGGAGTGACC